TATCAGTCACCTGGAGCAGTATCAGTCACCTGGAGGCAGGACATAAAAGCCTGAATTTTGCCTGAAACTCTCAGACTGAAGAAGTCTCTTGGAAGAGAGACGAAACGTTTCCTTAAAGAAGAACCCGTCCAGAGGACCTATACAATTGTTTTTCCTTTTCACCTTGTGAATATATTTCTGTGAAAGACGCCTTATAAATAAAACTTACTTACTTACTTACGGTACTTACAAAACCTCTCGAGATCAACCGTGAGTACAGAGTAAACAAACATGACCGGCGAGGAAGAAGCAATAGTTTGGGGACTATATTTTTAACGGAGAAAAAAACAAAAAGACGTCTCCGACATCCACCAGACTTTCTGGTGCTCCATGGCAGCTTTTTAGTTTTCTGTATCTGTATTATTCAACAGGCTGTGAGCTCGTTTGTCCTCAGGGAACACCACCCACCCTGGGATACCAGGCCAAGTCAATCCAACATGTAGAATATCCCTGATGTGAGATTGGAGCGATTCTGACATCCTTCTTACCCGACTAGATCACTCAACGCACCACACACGGCAGGAATACCTCATAGGGTTATCTTTAAAGCCATCATCGTAATCGAAGCATCCTTAAGATTGTTAGAAGGGACAAATTGAGCCAAAACTTGRTATAATTATGTTGCTGTGTAAACCAGACATTACTTGAGTCCAGAGAATATTACAGAGGTCGCTGTTTAAAGAAACCAGGAGGAGTTTCTTCCATGGTGAAAGATTAACAAGGTCTCCTCCACCTCCTCAGCTCTACCTGATTGCCAACCACCTTCCAAAAGAAGACCTGCTGGATGTGTGTCTGTACTGCCAGCACTACTGCCTGCTGCCGCTGGCGTCGGAGCAGCGAGTGGGTCAGCTGGTCATCTGGAGGGAGGTGTTTCCCCAGCAGAGGGCCACCGGAGGGGTCATCCCCGCGCCGGGCTTCAGCCAGCCGCAGGGGCGTCACTTCCTGCTCATAGTGGGGCTGGTAAGGAGGAGAATCACTGACGGGCGATTAGGAATGCTCTGATTGCTCATGCTAACATTGGTTAGCTGTGAACACTTCAAACCAATGAGATGTCTGTTTGAGTGTTTCATGTTGTTCTACAGTTAACTTCTGTTCTGCTGTTTTCGCCGTCTCCCCCTCAGAGACACTTCATGCAGTGTGTCTTATTAGAAGCAGGTGGTTGTGCTTCACCAGTCCTGGGCTCTCCAGGACCTGATTCTGTTTACGTTGATCAGGTAAGCTTTAGGATAAATCCATATCAATTCTAGTCATCGTGCTCAGGTTTCTGCACTGCACCTTCCATCTCGCTGACCTTATGTTCCTTCTCGGTCACTGCGATCTATTCCAAAGCCAAAAGCCAGGCTGAAGCTCAGAGGGGCTTTTCAGACATGGCTCCTAAGCTTTGGAACAATCAGCCCTTCAACATTAGACAGGCCTCATCACTTTCATTTTTTTAAATCTACCATAAAAAATTATAAATAAGTTTGACTTGTGTTCTGGTCTCAGGTAAAAGCCACCTTGCTGCAGTTGGAGATGCTGGAGGTGGGCATTGAGGAGCGTTTGAGTGCCCCACCTACTCCCTGCCTGTCGTGTGCCGACTGGTTCCTCCCCGCTGCTACGACCCGAGACCGGCTGGAAGGCCTGGCCTCCTCGTCCCCCATCCTCAACAAACTCGCAGGAGCTTTTAGAGGCCCCTCCACGGGGTCCAGAGGAGGCAGCCTGTTCGGTGAGAAGTCCCGTCGGTCCAGCCCACAGAGGGGCTTGTCGGACAGTGGGAGCGAGGGGCAGACGGATGCTGGGATGGGATTCAGTTCTTCTGGAACCTCAGGTCCCAGTCCTCATTCCACGCCAGACTCAATGAGGAAGCTCAGAGGGAGACGGGACTCTCTGGGGTCTGGAGGGTCTGATGGGAGTGGAGGCTTATTTAAGGTACAGCTGCAGTCCATCCAACCATCCATCTATCCATCCATCCATCCATCCATCCATCCATCCATCCATCCATCCATCATCCTTCCATCCATCCATCCATCCATCCATCATCCTTCCATCCATCCATCCATCCATCCATCA